TTTTCTCACAAAAATTGTTATGCGAGTGCCCAGGTTACTGTTAGTCATCATCATAATCTCTGGACTGGCTTCCTTAAAAGCATGAATGTTCCTAGCTTTTTTCCTTTTCTGTGGTCCAGTAATGCTCCAGGATAAAGCATAAGGATTACATGAGCATGTATAATGAGAATGTTCCTATTCTGAGATCTTTGGGAAGAGGAATCAAAGCTGCCGGGATGCAGCTGCAGCAGAAGAGGATGTGAAAGCATGGCAACTGCATAGCAAGGAGATGTGGTTTTCATCTCAGTTGCACAGTGGGAAACACTTAATTCAGTAAGTTTTCTGTTCTCCTTACTTAGAAACTTTTGGACCTACAGGCTTTTGGGGTAAAGGTGCTTGGAGAACACTCATTACTTACAAGTAAATAAAAAACAACTAAACACAACTAAAAAGACTAAAGTTCTTTCTGAATAAAGTAAGATGCTGAAATGCCTCTTACAGTAGGAGACCATCAAGACACAAAATCAATCAATCTTGGCTATTGTATTTTTCAGGTGTTTGTGAGAGGATTTCATGCTTTCCAGTTTGTTCCTACTGAGGGGCATTCAAAAGGAACAGCGTTTGGGAAGTGTAGCTTTCTCTGATAGCGCAGATAGCGACTATTCGTAAGACCTAAAAGAAAAGTTTTTGAGAGGAGAGAAGTGCCTGCGTGGCAAGGAGTGATGTGTTTGGTCTTTCAGTCACCTGTGTGGAGTTGCAACAATACCAATGTTAGGAACCTTCTGACATTTCCTGAGGAATAGTTTGTCCTTCCAAGCAGAACAAAACCAGTATTTTGTCTCTGTGTAAGACAGTAAAAAGATCAGAAGAAAAAAGAGCTTTCACAAATACGTATGGTGGTGATTTATTTACTTCCTAACAGATAGGGTGAGGAAGAGACAGCACTGACATTTCATGTGGACCGTGGCACCTGCTACAACTGAGCACCGTAAAGCGTTTTTTCCCTTGATCCTCAACACAAGGTGTTTCAGGAGACTTATTTGTTCTTTTCTTTTGTCATTTACTTAAATAAATTCTCATCAGCTTCTGTGACTCATTTTCCCCCAAGAGGCTGACTATGCTGCCAACAAAAGAAGATTCAAAGATTGACAGGCTATCTGTCTCGCTTAGAGAAAATCCCACTGGTAGTTGACCTGCCATTGCTTTGTCTGAGGACACTTACTTGAATGTCTGATAGATGCAGTAATTGAGTTTTACTTTTTATTGTAGCCAGTTTTCACAAGCAGAGCGTTTCCTTCCCCCTTGCACACCTGAGTGGTCTTTTGTGCATTCTGGGTGGTCCTGCAGGGATTTCAGAGGCCTATATGAGAAGATTAACCTAGTATTCCCAAAAGCCCCTTAGCGCTACGTGATGGCCCTGTAATGAGCTGCAAAGTTAGTCTGGTGCCGTGGAGTACTGATGGAGTGCTAGTTGGGATGCCAGCCAAACAAAGCCTTCAGTCTCCAATTTTAGTAGGTGAGCTTTTCTGGGAAATCCACCTGCCTTCCTGCTGTTGACCCTTTGCAAACAGCCTGCATCCCTGCTCAGCTGTTTTCCACCAAGTCCCCTTCTTCTTTTGGGTGGCCTGTTTTTTGCTATGGAAAAAAGGGAGCCAGGGAAGTACGGAACCTTCTGCTCTGGAAATCCGTCACTGTTCTTTTAGAGCTGCGCACCATTAGTCTGGTGAGCGGTGACATGGGAGTAAAACGACAACAGTAATTTGGAAGCTGAGAGAAGCAACTGCATGCAGGCATTGGCAAGATGTAAGTATCTTTAACTTGGATAAGGCTACAGCAAAATGAGTTCAGTGAAGCTGGAGGAGATGTTGCCAGCGAGAGGAGGAGTGGAATTGGGAAAACAGATGCTGTGCACACTGTGATTATTATTTGCTCTGTGAGAAGCATGAAAAATACTACACATAACAGATGCGAGAAGATGCCAAAAAGATAGTTAATTCCTGATAGATATGTTAAAATAATTAAAGGTAGCAACAGATGAAGAGTGGAGAAACTCTACATCTTTACTTGGATGTAGGCCTTAGAAAATACTATTACAAGAGAGCATCAGAATGAAATTGAAGAAATTCCTTAGAACATTAAAGAACGAAATGCCATTTATCTAAAGTACAGCAGCAAGCTATTTTGAATATGGTCTGTCATATGTTTGGAGGTGGAGTTAAGTTTTGATTTACATGGACCTAAATGGACTAAAGTTTTGATTTGTAATGTCAATTCTAAGCCTGCTGGGATAGTCCCTCATCTTTCAAATATACTTAGAGAACATCCTGTGCTAGTGCAGTGGGTAGCCCTTAACTTTTGAACTCAGTCTTCTCCTCAGCCTCTAATACATTAAATGTGGTATAGAAAAAACAAAAGTGAAAACGTAATGGTAACTGCTACATATATAAAGGATGATATACTTTTATTATTTTTAAATAGCTACGTTTGAGTTATGGCCACCGGACTGATGGATAATGATCAGCTGATTTTCTGTCTGACAGATGTTCTAGATTTGTCTCTGCATACTTTTTAAATGAAGTGCATAAATCAAAATTCACACACGTGAAAGTGTGTCAGACTGTGTCCATCATCATCTTCCTGGGTTGTCTAGTATTATGCAATGTAGGGAGATTACATCAGGGGAGAAGAAGATGAGCTGGAGAGGAAAGGGAGGGATTTGAAAAAAGTGCACAAGGTGGGTAAGATGAAACTGTACTACAGAAGAGAGTAGTTTCATATAGCATGAGTTGCAGAGCAGATTTTCTCCATTTGAAAAGTAACCATTTAGGGACCAAAACATCCGTGCAGGAGAGAAAAGAGAAAACAAGTCCACAGGAGAGGATTGAGGAAGTCTTTGGTGTGTTTTGATGTTAATGTCATTCTGTAGATCTTGATGTGAACAGCAGTCATCTCACAACAGTATTATTGTCTCACCAACTAAATGGCTGAAATGAAATGGGCAGGAAGTGCAGCAACGCTAGTATTTTGGCATTGGGAACAAATTTTAACAGCTTTACTAAGCAAAAGGAGATCCTGAGTATTTTCTGTTCTGAAGTGTAATTTACAGTCTCTTTACTTGCTTTGGTAAGCATGTGGAGAAATAAGGACACCTACAGTTAAGTAAATATGAACACCCACAAAAAGCCATGAGACTGTGTCTGTAAATATGGATTAATTCTCCTTATTTTGATATTTCTTGTCAAGTGCTGACCTCACCCATTTTAATGAATACCTAGTATAATGCTATATCTAACCGAGAATGCTGATGCACATACTTTGTATATTTTCTCAAAGTTGCACTCTTGAATGTCCATGTATAGTTCTTGTATTTTTGTTACTTATGGAAAAGATTCATTTGGACTTGACCTGAGTGTTTTCATGCAAGACAGGAACTTTCTGCTAAATCTCCAGGTCAGAACTTTCAGTTACTGACTTTGGTTAAAGGAAGTGGGTTTTTGCATGTTCAAGTCATCTTTCGGACTTGCGGATTTTACTTATGCCTTAGTTTCTTGCCAAGAAGGATTCATTTCTTTTATTGCAAGTATTTAGAGATACAAAGAAGATTATTTTCAGCCTTACAGCTGAAAGGCACTTTGAGGGAGAAAAGGAAAGTGTTCTTTGTGCTGGAAACACCAGGTCAGCATCAGCAATCAAATTTCTGCCCCTCTCTTCCTGCACATCAGAGCAAGTCATGTTTGATCTCTATTTGCCTCACTTTTTCTATCCATGAAATGAGAGCACTGGTATTTCCCAACCTTAGCAGAATTTTAGAAAGGGGACTATGATGCTTTGCTTCTTATATGAACAACACTAAAATGATTGAGACTTTCCTTATCCAATTCTTATTCTAAATACAGCCAGCTGTCAACTGAAAGCTGACAGCCTTCCATCAGATTGGTCTCCAGCCCCATCTGTATCCCTTCCCACACAAAGCACTGACCATATTTACACAGAGACAACATTCCTGTTCCCACATTGCACACAGAGCTGCATTCATATAGAGCAAGTAAATATTGTTTTTAATTGAACAATTCATGTCTGATTATTAGAAATTACTCTGTTAATTATCAGAAATTATTGTGTACAATTCTGGTATGATAGTCTTTTGTGATTCTTAATAATACAGTTGCTAATGGCAGTTTTCGCACACTATCCCTGTGTGCCACTGGCAGATAAGTATCCCCTCCTTCTGCTCCAGGTGTTCTCACTTCAGCGGGTGCCCTGGGGTGTGATTCTGCAAACACCTCTATGCCTGAACCAAAGCGCATTTTGGTCAGCAGGAGTTTTCCCATTCAATTCAACGGGCTTTGAGACAGGGATCGAGGGAGCAGAGCACTGTTGGTTCTATTATTTCCAGGATTCAATTATTTATTAGATAAAAATCACATGCACAAGCTGAGGTTAAACCAAGCTAACAAGGAGCAGAGGAAAACAAATGGCTTGATATCTGCAGGATAAAGAAAGTTTATGAAGAGTTTTAGTTTGTTTTCTGAAAGGTCTTTCTTGTATAATTTGTTCCTCTGTGAAAGGAGTTTGTTCTAACAAGATTCTAAATAAGAATCTAAACGAGATTCATAATAAAGAAAACATGCTTTGCTTCATAGAGACAGTATGGCAAAATAGAGTTGCAGTTCCCTTCCGAGTGGTTGTATGGCAAAACCACTTAAAAAGAGGGATCGGGTCATAAAAAGACATACAAGTGGCTGGCAGAAAGGGTTGTTGCTGACTCTATCCACAGGTTTCTTGTAGGTACAGAGCTGTTTGTTGTGCTAGTCTGATGTGCAAATGGCAGCATAAGGAAATGCAGAGATTCTTTTATCTTCTTCTGGGGCACAAATAAAGCTTAAGCTCCCAGTATTGAAATATGAGGCTTTTACGAACAAAAGAGCCATTGGGCAAAGCCTATGGCTATTGTATAGTTGAGCAGGTGATTAGCATCCATCCTGGCTACAGCTGTTTTCTTATGTTTGTTCCATATTCAGATGTTGCTATGAGGAAAGGAGTCAGCAATGACTGATGTGGAGCCTGTGGTCACAGATTTTGCAGCATCAGGACGGGCAGGCCGCCGGAACGCCTTACCAGATATTCTGGGCTCTCCTGCTGGTGCTGGGACTTCAGACCTGACACACAAACTGGCTGAGCTCTCCGTTTCAGAAGGTAATGGCTGCACATTCAAGAAATGGACATTTTTATGCAGTCGTCCTTTGCTTTCTCCTTAAGACTTCTGCCACCAGGCAGTTTTGATGTCAATACTAATATTTCTTTCTTCATTTAGGATTAAATTCAACCTTCCAAAGCAGTTACCACTTGTACCTCCTGATGAGACAAGTTAATTTTAACCCAGACTAAGTCTGCCATATCCACCCACAGATTCAGCGTTCAGCAGCCTGGGGAAAGGTGCTGGGAACTGAATTCCAGTTCCCCTGAGGAAGAGCAAACACAGTTGCATTTCTGGGCAGCTTGGAAAGCCATCCCTCCAGCTATAAATTAGGGTCTACTCCTGCACTGACATAACTTAGCACAACACAGCAAGCTGCGCTGTTAATCCAATTACAGCTATCCTAACTCAGGCATATACATTAAGAGTAGGGTTTACAGTGATTTACTCCTGCTAGTAGGCTTTCAACTTTGCTATCTGAGACCAGTGTCCTATTTTGCCATGTCCTTTAATTTGATAAGGTGCTCTGTTGACTTAGCACCGTCCTAATCAACACCAACTTTACATTTGAGTTCTTTTTGCTTTAAGGGGGATTTTCAGATTCAGAAAAATCTGGTTTCTAATGCCTACGAAGTGAGAATTATAGGTTGGCCCTGAGCATAGGTTGCCCCTACTTTTTTAGGTCCTGATTTGGAAGTAACTTTCTTCTCATGCCCATCACTGTTGCTGCTGTGACAAATGCCACCGCAACTGGTGGTCCCACATCCAGGAGCAGCAATGGTGTGGGTGCAGGACAGCCGGAGGCAGGCCTGTGCTGAGGAGTGGAGGGTCCATGAATCTGAACTGAAGTAGATTATAGGAGGGATTCCCGGGCTCCAAGGATGCATGTCCTGCTTGTACGTTGCCCAAAGCAATTACAGGATGTTGAGTTTACAGCCTCCTAAAGCACCATAAAGGCTTGGAGGAGATTCCTTTGATTACAAGTGCTTTGTGCTTTGGTGATTTAATTTATATTCAGGTATTTGGGGTTCTGTAATCTAAACCCAGCATGGGCCTATCGAAGGACTGCTGGGCAGGTAGAAAGAACATCTCCAGGAGGAGTGAGAAGGGACCGAATAACAACGTCCTGGCTTGAACCTGAGAAAGAGAGGAAAATAAGAATATGAATGGGTGCTGGAAGGAGGCATTACTTTTGCAAAAGGAAAGCGCAAAGATTTATGAAGGAGAGAGGGTGGACATAAAGAAAAAAGGAAAAGACAACAAGGTCAGATACCCTCAGGCTGCAGGGCAGTAGTGAGGGGAACTGGGAGAATCTGGAAGAGCAGGTGGGAAGGACAGCGGGCACTGTGTCAGAGTACAGTCAAAGTAAAGCTGGGAGCCCTGTGAGTCCAGTTAAAGCTCCTTTATTTCGAGGAGGGATTTTTCCCTAGGAATATGAAAAGTATGTCCCTACAGATTTTCTCCTTCTGGTGTGTGCGACTGGAGCACTGGAAATCCATTCCAAAGTACAGACAGTCACTTAACAGACAGTCACTTAACATTTAATGCTTTGGTTTTCAAATATTATGGTTTTCTTATTCCAAATAGCTCTTCTGCCTGGCACGGTTCGTGCACCATGACCAGGGTTCAGGCTCCAGCAGGAGAGAACTATTTCCCTTATCAAAGGGGAGGTAGATGGGAATTTATATTGTTATTAGTGTCAGGAGCTGCGGAAGTGAAGCGACCAGTCCAACCCACTGAAATATTCATTGCTACATTATGTGTAACTAACCTTTGTATTGTTTAGAGCAGTGAACCTTGAGGGACATGCACCATGTTAACCATGTTAAACAAAGCACAAAAGAATACAACAGCTGTAGATAAGTTCCTCATGTTTGTTTCATTTTGGTAGTAGTTGGAAAGAATATACTTTTTAAAGCATGCAAAATTTCTCTCTTCGATCTTTTTTTTTTCCCCTGGATAAAAATAAACATGAAAGAGTGAAAGTCTTGTTAAAAGAAATGTTACAGCACAGCATAAAATAAGTACTTAGCCCTCCAGGCAGAATAATCCTCCTCTCCTGGTGCCTATCCAATGCGTTAAGAAGAAGAAATGGAACACAGCTACATTAGTTTTAGCAAAATGGCCAAGCAAATGTACAAATACAAGGACCAGCACTGCCAAGATTTGAAGAACAATTAAGAGCACGGAATTATCCTTTGCTTTCGTCATTGACATATAGCTGTGCCAGAGCATGCCTGGAAGGAGCAGTTTCTGTTATCAGCAGTTTACAGTAGTGATAATAGGAAATGAATACAGGATACAGTTAGGTCCACTCTGACTGCTTAGATGCTTTTTGGGGTTGGGAATTCCACAAGTATCAGATGGGAATTACAGCCTCATTGTGTTGTAGGTTAAACTTCTGATGAGACAGCAAGCAAAACGAGGAGAAGTCATCAAAATGGAAAGAAAGTTTGGAAGTTCAAATGCTGTGACAGGGAAACTGTTTGTGAAACATTTGGGGGTCTTAACAGGCTTCTCTTTTTGCCTGTTTTTGGCTTTAACAATAAGTTGTTAAAAAAATTAAAGCCGTTTCCAGCTCAGAACAAAGAAGTTGGATAAATGAGAAAAGTGGAGAAGATGGAAAATGTGGCTATATAAAGTATGCCCTTTTTTTTTCCTACTCTGAAAGATTCAGTGAAAATTATGGGAAATGGTGAGCAGGACTCTCTGCACCTTCCTTCAGATTTAGCTAACGCTCATTGGATCACACATTTCCTCTCTTTCTAAAATGCTGTCAGCTGCTGTCATAGTGAAAGGATGTGCTAATACCTTTTATCTGGCTTAGAAGAGAAAAGAGTCTGTGCTTTATTTTTTATGAATATACAAGGATCATAGCTGTGTGACATACATTTCCATGTACTCTGCAAGCCACACCAAATTAATGTTCTCATGAGATGGACAGGAGAGAGTTTGGCACCAGCTGTTTATCTCAGAGCCTAACTCTGAAATGAAGACCATCTGTATCCTGTCTGATCATCCTCTGATGGTGTGTAAGTTTGGAAGGCTGAGACTTTCCACAGGTGGTTCTCTCTTCGATCATATTGGAACGATGTTAAACAGTTGATTGGTGTCACTGGTGATCCAAAGGTTGAAGAGGAGTCTGCAAGAAGTTTGGGAGCAAAGAGGCTATACTGGTCTCCCACATTTGGTAATCTGCATTAGGGCACTATTCTGCCAATAACCTTTATTGTTTGCTGAATTTTTTCTAGGTGACTGTGTATAGCTATCTTGATACAGTCAGCAGCTTAGCACCTGTTGCGCACCTAAGTGCTACCAACTATGAGATTAGATTTCCTCTAACAAACTGTTTTCCTCTACCCTGTCTGCAAGACTCCACTAATATTAGACATCCAACCCCACACAGAAACAGTCAATAGAGGAGATTGCTCTGTCTCCCTTTCCTGAACAGTGCTGTGCTATGTAATGCTGAAGGGTGTCAAATAACTCAGTTCTTAATTTACCAGTATAAAACTCCAAAGCCTCCAAATCTCTGAGCAGACTTACAACATGAAGCTGTTTCTGCCAAGAGCTTTAGCTGATGAATTGTGTACAGCAGTATATATTTGCTGTGATATGTAGAGACCAAGATACATAACTCTTTTGGCTGTGATATTTTACAGCAAGTCTCCAGGCAAATAGCTGAAAACGTACCCCTTAGATTACGGCTATTAAAGTGGAAGACGGTACAGCCAGATATGCTGAGCAGACCTCTCCTTGCCCCCAAAAGCTACGGGCTGTCTTAGATTCGGGTATACAAACTGTTCTGTTAGCACTGGTAATGCCGTGTGGGACTTGAAGGTATCCTGGTTTTGGCTGGGATAGAGTTAATTTTCTTCCTAGTAGCTGGTACAGTGCTGTTTTGGATTAGTATGAGAACAATGTTGATAACACACCAATGTTTTAGTTGTTGCTAAGCAGTGCTTACACTAGTCAAGGACTTTTCAGCTTCCCATGCCCTGCCAGCGAGAAGCTGGGAGGGGGCCCAGCCGGGACAGCTGACCCAAAGTGGCCAAAGGGATATTCCATACCATGTGACGTCATGCTCAGTATATAAACGGGGGGGAGTTGGCCAGGGGAGGGGTGACCACTGCTCAGGAACTGGCTGGGCATCGGTCAGTGGGTGGTGAGCAATTGCATTCTGCATCACTTGTTTTGTATATTCTATTATGATGATGATGATGATTATTATTATTATATTATTTTCCCTTCCTTTTCTGTCCTGTTAAACTGTCTTTATTTCAACCCATGAGTTTTACTCTTTTTTTTTTCCGATTCTCTCCCCCATCCCACTTGGGGGGAGTGAGCGAACGGTTGTGTGGTGTTTAACTGCCTGCCGGGTTAAACCACAACAAAAGATAGTGTGAAAATGATTATGCTTTGCAAGGAAATCAAGGCAAGAGGAGTTCCTGTTTCTCAGTGAGAGAATTTGAGCATCAAAAGCGATGGTGTGGAACCCTTCATCTAATGACCATGCACACTGAGGAGCTTTTACTTGTATTAGTAGTGTAAGCATTCAACTCTTAACTATGGAAGAGTGAAGTTCCAAATCAGAGTAACAAAAAATCCCCTCATCTTGTGGAGACAGGGTGAATTCTCCTAGGTATTTCTTGGCAAAGAAGGTCAGCCAGATAACTGGCACGTTCATAAACTGTAATGTTATCTACCTGAAACCAAGCAATGCTTGGAGGAATGCAATATTCTAACCTGACTTTGGAAATGACCCAGAAAAAACGAATAACAATAATAAAGAGTTATCTCCAATCTGTTTCTTACAACCAAATGCACATTGATCAGCATGTGCAAGGAGCCGGCAAATCAGCACAAATAGGCAGTTGCTTTTGGAAGATGCCCCTGCAAGTTCTTTATCTTTCGAGTTAATCTCTCTCTCTAAAGCACCCATGAGTGTGGTAATAAAGAGCCAATCCAAACAGAGATGATCAGCGAACCCAAATATTTGGCTGCATTAAAAAAGCTGTGAGAATGTGTGTGGTATAAATGTTTAATTCTGCCTTTTTTTAGATGAAGGAGCGGAGGGTGGTGAAGTGCCATCATCCAAAGCCTTGCTGGAAAGTCAAGAGGCGGAAGGAAAAAGCAATGATTCCTAACACCTAAGGACTTCTGGATTAATGAAACCCATTGACAGACTTTCCAGTTTCCCTGTGTCACCCCTTCTGAAGTGTGGTAGCAACTTTAGCAGCACAGACAAGATTTTGCAACACACTTGTACCTAGATGACATTAACGTGGAACTACTGTTTTCTCTACTGTCGTCCTTCAAAACCAATGTTCTACACATCCAAATGGGAAGAGAACTAAAGAATGTATCTCTTGTTTTGGGTTTTCTCATGCTTATAGTATTCTTCCTAACTAATCTTCTTTGACAGTTTCAATTAATATACCTAGCAGATGTACCACCAGCTAATGATTGCTTCAAAATAAAAATCCTGTTTCTTAATTTCCCAAAATAACTTCTCTCTCTCTGACATAGAGGTGTATTCACTCTCTCCACCTTAAGATGATATTAAGTATATATTAGATTACAGACATTATATGTAATTTATCTCCCAAGATCTTTGTTCTCATTAGGCATATGTAGATGGTGTGAGAAATAAAAGAAGAAACCATGTTTTTCTCTCCTCCTCCTGTCTCCAAAAGGTTTTGTAAACTACTTAAACACCAGTGTTTGTTTTCAAACTCTCTTTAAACTCTGTTCGATTATGGCAGATCATCTCAGTTCTCCCAGTCTTAGCAGTCTTGCCACTTCTGTCATTTCTATTTTCAGTCTGAATATTGTAGCTGTTCATGTGTGTCTAAAATAAAGTACCCATGTTTGTAAGTGATTAAATTTGTTTAATCTCACTGTGGAAATTAAATAGCTATCATCTTTTCTGTCTTCTGTTGATTCCTTGATGTTTCTCCTGTATGACAAGACTTAAAACCCCATAATGCATATTTCTTTTATTTCATCTGGTTTTTGCTTTATTGCTTGCTGACAATGAAGATGTTTCAATTATTGTGATTTTTACAAAGATTTTTAACCAAAGGGTTTTCTCTGCTGGAAGGAATTGTTTTGTTATAGAGGTCATGCTCCTGAAAATACTTAGCATTCATTCCCTTGTTGTAGGAGACCTAAGATTCAGGTACAGACACGCACCTTTACTGCAGCCTAGGGCAGCTGCCATTTACGTATTTCCTGAAACCTAATCAACACTGACAATTGAATGCATTCATTTGCCCACACAATCTCTCTGCTGGGCTGTAGCCAGGCGGAGGAAGCATCTCTGATGGGTACATTCCACATTTGACTGGTATTCCATCTATAAAATATTTGTGTATTTTATAGCTGCCAGAGAGCTTGTAAGAGGCCTCTCTGCACACCGACCATTCCTACTGTGCATTTACTCACGCCCTGTCTTTTGGGTAGCATTCGGTAAAGGATTCAGTTTCGTCCAACTGAACTGATACTTAGTTCCTTCCACTTGTATTCATTTAACAAGTGCAACATCCCAGAATTACTTTCAGGTTTGGAAAGGTAAAGTAACTTACTCCACTGGAGCAAAACAGGTGGCTTAAGAAAGTCTGAGAGACTGAACAAGCTGACATTGGAGGACCAGAGTTGAAAACCACAGCGGAGAGGGACTTGGAGCTAACTACAGTTGTGGTACACACTCTTGTTCTGGGTTGCAGTCCCATTCTCATGTACCAGCCTCCTTTATAGCATCACAGTACATAAAATTGTTCAATTTTAAGAAGTTAAAATGATCCCATGGAAATCAAGTAGCTGAGTATTACTGAAACAGAATGCCTTATATGCTCTAAGTGGAGCATATGCTAAAGTGCTCTTCTGGGTCATAGCCTATATTGAAATCTCCTCTTCTTTCACAGTTGCAGCACTGGATATATTTAGATTCTTCTCTTACAGAATACAGACACTGAAATTTGGGTTACAGGAATAGGTACTTAAGTATTTTGTTAGCCTAAGATGCTTTGAAGTTTTTTACTATTAAAACACCAATTACGAACCAGATTAATTTAGCAAATTATTCATGTGCTAAACTGTGTAAAAACCATTCCACAGCTATATACATACATGGAGTTAACTGCTCACAGACATACAGCTTAGAATTAATCAGAGTGCTCAACACTCTGGAAAATTGGTGCTTTGTGCTCGAGCTGTATGAACCTGTCATTGAGAGATGCTGTGTAGAAAGAATAATTTTAACATAAGATTAGAAAAACTGCATAAGAAGTAAAGACTGACAGGAACATTTAAAATGCAACTCAATCAAAAGCAGGATGAACATTTTTGATCTATAATATGTGGGTCACATATTATGCAGTCCTCATTTGCCGGTGTATTATCTAGATGCAGATTAACCAAGTTACAGATGCAGAAATACTTACTTGCCACATGCATGTACAGTTTGTGTCTAAACAGTTATTAGTCTAGGCTGCATGAGAGAGCTCTTTTGTAGTTAGTTCAGATATGGAAGAGGGATATCTAGTTATGCCCTGGATTTTGTGAAATAAACCTTTCAGTTCTGAGCCAGCTGCATATTTCTGACCAGTACAAACAAAACCACAAACACTCGGTGTGGAAGACCTTGTGCCATATAAACTTTGGTCCAGAAGAATTTATTAGTTGTGTATTACACTTGACTCAGCCAGACAGGAGCTAGCCCCTTTAGAGCTGTCTGGGGGTCTCAGTGCCATGCTGTCCAGTAGTCTGGGGTTTAGGCAGGGTTACTATCTTAAGCACAGCTAAAGTTGGGAAAGCTCTGGTTCATTTTCTTGTTAGTATCTTCAAGATAGGTAATAGTCCTACTAAACTTTGGCTGAGCTTGTAAAGAGCAAGTTAAGTGCTTCTGAATATGTTTCTCACTGAGCCAGTTTATCCAGTTTCAACCATTATCCAGGCTATACCACCCTCCCATTAGCTGAGCTAATGGGTAATTGATAACAGTGCATTCTCTTAATCCACAGGATAACAAAGTTATGGCCCTGAATCAGCAGAGAATTTTAAAACATGCTTAACTTTAAATGCAGACTAGTCTCACAGAAGTCAATAGAACTACGTAGTGCCTAAAATTAGGTACATACTTAATTACCTTGATAAATTACGGCCGCAAACTTCTATTAAGGCTAATCTGGTATTATAATGCATTAATCCCAATTTCCATTCCAGCAAGTGTGGCACAGGTAATAGCATCTTTTTCATCAGCTTACAGCACTATCCTGGGCTTTTACAGAGCAAGGAAATTCATTTTAGTACCAAGCAAAAAAGGTAACTTTGTTGTCTCCAAATTTTAGAACTTAATGAAGCAATTATTCATTCTTAGCCACTCTGCATATTAAAAAAAAAAAAAAAACAGGCAGGAAATACCCTCGTAACTTCATTGTGCATATATAAAACAATTTAGGTACTTTGAATATACAGAAAATTGGCCTCAATCTTTTCCAGATGTCATTAAGAAGATAATTTTCTTTGAGTTAGCCCTTCATCAGAAGCTTCATGTAAGAGGTAGATGAACATGCTGAGGTGCATCTTCTGTTGCTATAAAACAGGACAGTTCAATTTGTTATCTGGAAGGCAATAAAGGACTAAATAGGTTTTGAGGTAGGGGACTGATGATTAGAATGTTCTCATTTAGAGAGATTAAGAAAAGTAATTAAGCATTTTTTAAAATGAAGCTTATTTGCTATGATTCCACATACAGCTATCTCCACCTGTGGCATATACCATTGTTCTGGTATAATACTGCATAGGCTGAGCTTAGATGGATGAAAAGAGTGGCAAAGCAGTTCACAAGGTGGTATATTTTAAAAGAAATTTCCAAATCATCGATAGTACAGCAATGTACAGGCCAGATCTAGTTGTCACTGAAGACAGAGATCCGTTTTATACTAACTACAGTGTGAATTATATATAACTTTCGTTTTAAGTCATAAGTTACTAATCATACAGAAAATTTCTCCCAACTCAGAAAGTCTATGAACACAAATGCTTGGAGGCAAGGAGGCTAGTCAGTGGAAACGTCATGTATGTTTGCACTATCCAAGACATCATATTTAGTTATGTGGACTTACGATCTGACCCACGGTGGCCACTTCTCTGTTTTGCAGCTTTCATACAATGGTGATCATATAAAATAATATAACTGCACTTGCATTAGTTAAAAATGACAACAGAGCACTGGCTAGAGGAGGCTTAAACTACACTTTGCCATCAGTATTCCAAATATCCTTTATGTGTCACACACAGAAAAAGGAATACTCCAAGATTTAGCAAATTACTTAGGACTAATTCATATTCCTCTCTTCTGTCTGCTGGTGCTCTTATGTGTGATAAAACCCATGAAAAGGAACTGAACAGAGATTTCTGCATGGATTTTTCCACCGGTTTGGCACAGGCTATATTTGCTGTGCTCAGTGAGCATAAGCCCCAGACCCGCCGTGGTGCTTGTGGGTTCCCCAGGGTCCACACAGTACAAGCCAGTGGGGCTGAGCCCACTGAGGTCCCAGGGCACTTGCTCTGAAGAAGTGGTTTGGGTAGAAGTAGCAAGGGCTTAAACTGTCCTGCCATCTAGTGGGATCCTCAGCTTGCCAGGTAGTTTGTGCAAATAAGTGGAGGGAGACAGTTTAAGAGACCTCAAAACCACTTGGGAGGCAGCTGCTTGAGAGCAAAAGTGAAAATAGGGTGCGAGCTGGCCTGGTGAGAGGTAGATTGTCTCCAGCTAATCTGAGACGTTCACGTCAAGGGTTTCGCTAAGGGTCCAGTACCTTGGTGTCTCCATGTATTCAGAAAGTTGGGTGATCGCAAACAGGAGCTGTCTCGCGTCGCTGAGAACACTGCTCCAATGGCTTACATAAGCTTGGGAAAATAATGCCAGCTGACGCTTCCCCACTGCACAGGGCTGCCATTCGGAGATGTGTGGCGCTCCTTCCCACTGCCCCTTGTAGCTTACCTCCTCGACCAGTCATCAGGAGAGCATCGCCTCTGGTTCAGAGGCCCAGACCTCTCGGTGGAAACTCACTCACACTGCCTGGGCAAAGGAAAGATGCCAGGCTTGAGCACCAACAGGTGAACTAGCAAAAAGCATTTTCAACCTGTAACCTCTGTCATAAAACAGGTGTCTAAGTCTAACTTGCAGCCTACCCAGCTTTAGATGCCCACTCTGCGATTTGGGCTAGGGTGCCAATACTGCCATAGATGACTGGTTTTGATCTTTTTTAGGGAGAACTCAGTTTCATCTTCCCCACCTGAAGCTGTTCTACTGCAGATAGTAATTAGCAATAAATGCTGAGAGCTGTTATTTTATTTTATTATTTTGGTTTATTTCCCTGTTGAGCCCAGTGGGGACCAGTTCATATCCCAAGATGGCCGGGAACGACAGGAGGCCTGAAGGCCGTCGCTCCACCCTGTCCTGTGCCACATCCTAATGCCAGATCTCTGGATTTTAATGCAAGACTTACGTTTGATGGAAAATGTTTTTTCTGGCTGTTGATACAAAGCCTGGGTGCTGTGGGCTTTTCTGGATTAAACATATATTCAGCAATTGCCTGCAATGTAAAGGGCCCTGATGTGAGGATTTAGACAATCCTTACCAGTGGTTTATTCCTGGGACTCTGCTTTGCAGTGACTGATGCTGTAAATCCAGTGCTTATCATACAATGTACAGAAAAGCTAATCAGTGAGAGGCTGGTTTAACCTTCCTACGTATTTTTTTTTTTTTCCAGATCCCTTGGGCACGTTTGTAAATGATACATCAGCAGGGTAAACAAAAAGAAGGAGCATGTAAAGTGCTGCT